CGCACGGAAAAAAAGAAAATTTATATTTTTTTGTGGTGCGCGACATGCGCTGCCACACCGGTCCACGGTGGGTCAGCTGTGATGCGATCCGCGCTGCACATATATACATATGTTTAATGTTTATTTTACAATTTGGCATAGATATGTATTATTTCACACATTTTTTTTATATGTTATTTATATAATTTATATGTTATTTATGTTTTTTTTTCATACACATTTTATTTTTGTTATTTTCACATACTTTTATTTACATATTTTTGTTTTATTTGTTTACATACGTCTTAATGGGATCAAAATCCCAGAACACACCCGAGCTCTCTGAAAAGTGCAGAATTGGTGGATTCTGTTCAGTGGGAGGGAAAACCATCATGAATCCCATTTTTGACGATGGAAATCGTTATGAAGAAATGGGTAGTTTGTAATTGAAGCAAGTATAGGGAAATGCAGTTAAACTACAGCCTTTCTTCCGATAGGAGTCTTTTTCAGAAAACAACCCGGTGTAATAGTCATAAAATCTGGATTCGTAGTACAACGAAGCATTCTATTTAATGCATATGTGCAGCATCGAATGTCTGTCGATGCACTTTTCCTAATGATAGTGGCACGGTGTAGCGTGAAACAGCCAGCAGATGGTGTAATACAGAATAGGAATTATTGGCCAGTGGTTTTTATCGTCGTAGCTAAATTTACTGCACCAAGACGTGAGCGAGCCAACCACGAGTTGACTATGAATGATCTAGGTGATCGGTGATCGTGGTCAGCTGTTCCCATCTGCTGATCTGTTTTCTCTTGCTTTAGCACGCGGTGGCTGATGCTACGCGTGCTGAGTGTCAGGCCTCCTTCGTGCTCGTTGTCTCAGCATCGTCTGATCGTAGTATTTAGGCGTGAATGGCATCGGTGAAGTGGATTTGGCGGCAGTTTACTCTGATCGCGACTGATAGATTATCGGACGGCGCTGCCTTGCAATGGCGACAGACGCGCCATTTCCTTCGTGACCGCCTGCTTCGCTTCTTCGCCAACGTTAATGGAATTTCCGGTCCAACGATAAAGTGACTACCACGTGTTTGGTAAGGGTATAAGTGGCACAGATCGAGTCTCAGTAGCAAGCCAAATTTACAAACTCAACATAGATGTGGTAAAATATTTATTTTTTATTTTATTTATTATTTTAGAGTTTTTCATGCATAATGATGAGGCGCATGTGTTGCTCATCCGTTCGTTTCGATGTTTTCCCTCCTAACAACTAGACATGTTTTATTTTGGGATGGCTTTTGCATATATAAGCGGCTGTGAATCATTATATCGATTCCCGTTCGAATGTGTATTTTTTCAGTTTTCCTATTCGGTTTTTTATAGGCGTGGTGTTTAGTAGTCGTGGATGAAATAGTGTTTATATGCAATCGACTTTCGAACTGCTGTGATTTCAGGCTCGTTCCATTAAAGATCTATCTAGCCGTCTCAGCGTTCCATCTCACTATCTGCGTGCTTCGCAGTATCGGTCATCTGCTCGTACATCACTGCCAAGTCGCTGAAGTACAATCGCAGCGTTTGAAAATGTTCTTCTTGAGACCGAAAACTACAGAAGCGATGAATGTAAGTCGTCCTCCTCAGTCTTTTGTACTAATTTTGTTTTGAATCCCCGAAACAGGCCCTCAGAACCCCCTATGTAACATCAGTGAAGCTTAATGTTGGTTGATTCTCTTTCAAGAAGCGCCACGCATTTGACTTGAGTTCTGAATCGTTCTGGCATTTGAATGCGCCTATAATCTATGCAATGAACCTGGCTGATTTCCGGTCTCGAGTTTTATCTCCCTGAACTTATTTGTAGTTATTCGGAGGGACGAAAGGCTGCTACCTGCATGGTGTTGAGATATCGGTTTTGATCGCCTGTACAATGCGTCCGGCAAGGCGCCGCATTGGCTTATCATCTCCACCCAGTGAAATTGTCCAGCTATCGTTCGCAACAATATCATTTTAATGGTTTTTTTTGAAACGAGTTGAGACTATACAGTGGAGTGGGCCCAGCTTTTCAGACTGTAAACGTTATGCCCCTCACCACCCCTAGTTGGGCAATTCCTGCTCGGGATTCGTTCTCGTGACAGGAAAGTAGGGGGTAGTAGGGGGCATGTGGTGTGACAATTCTTTCCGGCTACAGAACTTCCAATTTTTGCAAGAGAAGGAATCCCCGAGGTGCGTGACCATTTCGCTTAAACTTTCACTCCCACCACGTAGCTTCCTTCCCCTGAAAAAAGTGGATTACTTAATGTAATAGGATGTTGCACATTGTAGTCCCCCCCTTACTGGATGAGACCCTAGTCGCATAAGGGGGTGGGAGTGGGTTAATAGCGAATTTTATTCCGTTGTGATGTGATGAGAACAAGGTCCACAGTTGTTTGTTTGCATCCATTGGGAATGAAAAATGCATATTTATTTGGACATTGATTCATCGGAAATATCCCTGTGAGTATTATTCCCTCATCCGTTGGGCTTTGGTGCCTGTCGTTGTGAATTTTTGAGTATATGAAAACAATTGTTTAAATATAGCAAGGTACAATCGCCAATGAGAACTGCTCAGACATCAGCAAGGTTTAATCTGCCCCTCCTTGTTTTTGTCCCAAATGAATTCAGACAAGAAGGCAACAACTGGTCCCAATAGACAATTGCTTCAGGGCGAAGTACTCGAGAGCACCCAAAGGCAGACCGTTTGACTACTGCCACTTGGCCTGTGGGGTCTGAATTCAGAAAACAATCATTATCTCATCAGTATGAAAGGGGTGGAAATGTTCTGTGTTGAGGATCCGCTGGCTCAGTTGAAATTGGAAAACGGCGTTGATTAGACCCGATGAACAGGACTTGCTCGCATATTGCAGCATAGAGGCCGTAAGTGAAGATCTCGCCATGTGGTTTTCGAAAAGGGCAATATTAGATTTCTGTGAGTGCATGTGCCAAACTCACGTCCCATTGAGGGCTTTCATTTTCGCTAAGTACTTAGAATTGAAGTCGTTAAAATAAATCCCCAAGGAATCTACCCTGTGAGCTTTCGCAATGGGATTTATTAAATGATTATAGTTTTCGCCCTAAAAGCTGTAAAAGGGAAAGTGCTGGTCGAATCCGCGATAGTTTATTAGATGCTTCGGAATTGAGCATAGATTTTCGTGTATTAAGATGAGAGGGTCAGACGTTGTATAGTGGTGTATAATCGGTCCCGTGGGAAAAACACCACAGGATTGTCTTGTGGGAGGTCCACAAACACAACGATGACGCCACGAAATCGATCCGCGCGCGTCGCTTAGAACCGGCTGCCGCGCCGCGCCCGCGGCGGCGGGTGGTGTGATCGGTGTGTTGTGTGTGTGAGGTGTGTGGTCAGACTAACAAAGACCACCTAGCGACAGCATGTTGGCGGCAGAGGGTGCAAAGAAACGAGAACACTTCGGCAGTGACGCAGACACACCGCGTTTCGCCGTGATGGTGATCATTGCCATTGTGGTGTGGGATCCTTGGCGAAGGTTCTGGAACGGGATGTCATGGGGTTGAAGGTCGTTGTCGGTTACTGTAGGTGAAAGGATACCTTGTGACTAGATGTTGCGGTGCTATACAAGTAGGGTGGGCAGAAATGTATGTAGGTGGAACTGCTGCCCGCTACTATACTGACACGAGAATCGGGGAGTTCGTGAGCCAGGGGGAGTGTAGCCCATAAGGGGGTGGGGGATGAGGGAATCGCTAAGATGGCGTGGGAATTGAGCTGCCAACACCTTGTATAGGGCGCGGGTTGCACCGTTGATACCTAAACGGAGTTCCTATCTAAGGTAATAGAGTAGTTTTTCCGAGGTTTACCAGTGATAGGTAAGATATCTATTAAAGACACGATTTTGCTGTTTGGAGACGAACAGCTGTTTGTTTACGGGATTTTTGGTGTTTGGCCTGTAAGATATGCCATAATTCATAAACGAGGCCCAATCGGCTGGCCACGACCCCTTCCCGATCTTTATATTGTCCTCTTAAGCCCGTCATCAATTTGGATCGATCATCAGCCCCCAACGAACTAGGCAGGAATTGTTGTCTTGAGGTTCATTAGGTGTAGCAACTTTGTTCTGAAAAACGGTAGAACTTATGGGGGTGGTAAATTTACGGGTTTTGGTGGAGCTGATGAGGGGAAATGTGCGTGTAGGTAAAATTCACGTAGTGTTTGTATTGCTCAATCAGTACAGTCCGCTGAGGATTAGTGATAGATTCTCTCTGCAGAACCGCGAAAAAGAATTGGTTGATTCAGCTTTGGAAAAACGCTGAGCAAACTGCAAATAGATCTTTGATGTTCCATGGGCCGTGGAAAATGGCTGGTCAGATTTTTTGAACCAGCCAGCACTAGCCCAGCTGCTGTGCGTGAGTCACAGAAACGGCTGCTAACAGACAGGTTGGAGCCGTCTGCTGCTAAAATTGTCGTTCACATTGCAAACTAACCGGATCCCCGTCGTTGTGGTGTAAAATATGATAGCAAATAATCGCACTTGGCATAAAAGCAAATTGTATGAATACGTTTACCTAATCTAATCTGAAGGGTAAGCGATAATTTATGATCAAATCAAGTGAATCGGTAAAGTGACGGGGAAAACTTCTATCGTGTTGCTGTGACCAGTGGTCGTTACCCTTTCATCGTTCGTGAAGTTAGCAACGAAGAGGAACTGGTTGCGGTCAGGACGAGTCTTCGCTAATCCTCATCGATTTGGCGATCGAGGAATACGCGATTGTTTGGTTTGAAAATATCGTTTTAAGAGTACAGATCATTTTGCACGAGAATTGTCACTGGAGGAAGTTTCACGGGCATTTCCCGGTCATGCATGGAAAATCAAAATTTGCACGGGTGAATGGTTGGGAGGTGATTGCCCATGACCCAACTTTCAACTCAATACAGCTCGCCAAGAGGTAAATCCAAAGAGGTGTGAAATCACCATTATCGGAGATTTTTGACGGTTTTGCATAGCATTTCTGAAGGTTAGGGAATGGGTCAAGGTAGCTCAGATCAATGGTAGAAAAGTTATCCCTAAGCTTGTTCTGCTGGCAAATGGTTCCCGATAAGATTACCATAATTTATGTTTGATTCATTTATCCAAGGGTTCTGAAACTTAAGCCTGACCACCAAGTTCTCTCTTCATAGGACCTCGGCATCGTGGTATCATTGTTGTGAAAAACCTCGTTGGCAGAAGAAGAGGAGCACCGAACTTAAGCCTGACCTTTGAATACGTGCAAATTCTCTTGTGGATCACAAAATGGGCATTATCAATGTTTGAACTGAAGTCAAAGGCGTGGCGGTCCTCGTGAACACAACTGGGTGATATCAATTTCGAGGCAAGTCAAATGCCGTGTCGTATCCCGAAGAAACGTTTTGAATTCAGAGTAGTTTTGCTGTACGGTCGCATCCGACAGTACATCATCAAAGCCTGAGTTTACTTCGCTTATCAGAATGGTCCTGGAACTTATGCCTGATTTTTGTCACACAGTTAAGGACAGCATCGTGACGATGTCCGAACTCGAGTCGTATGCCGTGCGCAGCCTTGGAAACACATGACGGTAATTTTGGAGAGGTCTATTCAGTTAGGGGGCATCATGATGCAGTTTTTCCAGAAAGCTAGGGTAACTCCGAGCCAGGGGAGTGTAGCCAGTCTAGGGGGGGGGGTGAGGCAGTCACTTGACATGCGTGAAAAGCTGGAATGTTCGAGTTCACACTAGTTCGCCGAGAAACTGCATCATGATGCCCCCCCCTAACTGGAATAGCCCCTTTTTGAGACCTCAATGGAGCTTTGAAATAAATTAATTAAGGATTCATTAGTTGTTTATCAATTTTATCCGTGTACTTATCGCCCTTGTTGAGAGAACGCCTGGAACCACTAGCAACTGGGTTGTGCCGGGTAACCCAATTATCATGAAGTTGGTCAGCTCTAGTTTCGGTGGTCGTTTTTCGTCATTACGTCTATAATTGCGGGGCGTAGTAACAAAAAATGATTGCATCGACCCATTTATACTTTTGTAGGGCAATATCGACTAACATTTGACTCGATGGGTGACCTTTTTATTTATTTGAGTGATAATCTGACGACAAAGACTGCACTGAACTTGCTTCCAGTCCGCGGCCCAAAGTGCAATCCAGGGAACCCTGTTGATAAGAATCGCTTCCAGTCGTTCTAGGTGATTGTTCTTGCCCAGTTTAGAGGGTCCGTTTGTGAACCATCATTCTGAACAATCTGTTGGTCCCCCCCTTCCCCCCCCCCCCGTCAGAATCGAGCAGGTTGGCGGAGAGCGATCATGTGACGCCGCACGACGGCGCGGCCACGCGGCCGACTGGTGTTTTCGCCACGGCGAGGCGGAGTCACGTTCGAATCGAGCGCCGCGCTGCGTCGCGTCGCTCGCCTCAGAACCAGCGAGCGCGTCGCGTGCAGCCGCCGGCCTCTCTGTCCACTCGTCCTCTCCTGATCTACCGGTACCTTCCAACATCAACATCATGACTCTACTGCATAACGGTTTCCCCCTTTCCATCATGGAGCAACTTTCGAGTACGTAATTGGTCCTTTAGCCGAGAAAAAAGCGTTTATTTTGAGTGTTTCTGAGCGAAACCTACTTTCTACTTTGTCTGCTAAGTTCTGTCATTGTTCTTCATATGCTGGACTGAGATAAGTTCGTTTAGATGCTCCTCTGAGCGATGATGACGATCGCGAATCGTCGTTGAACCGCTTTGGGAGCAATTCTTCGAATGAGTCTGGCCGTCGTGAAAGGTATGTTTTGCAGTCCATCATTCCTATTCTCGTGTATTAGATCTTTGATAAAGTCTGTTTATTCTGAACCCTACTTCTAAGCCTGTTTTCCAAGCAAGTGAACAGAGATGAAGCTTGTTTACCATGATCATATGAGCAATTGCAAGCAGGAAACACAATGAGACGGTTAAACATCGGTCCCTGAAATCTTTTCGGGTGTTCTGCAAACGAGCGCTTTAGCGTTGTTAAACGAAATCATGAGTCATTGTGGATTTCATAACTAGTTGGGTGGTCATGTGTGCGAGACCCATTGCAAATAAGTCATTTGTGCAAGGTCATCTCTTCATCTCTTCACTTTTCGCAGCTGGCGTCTGTTTACTCATCTGTCTCTTACGCTTACTGTTGTGCTAACAAGTTATGGGAACCATTTCAGTGATCACATTTGGGTTGTCAGCGGGCTTGAGAAGTATGGCACATGGGCAATCTCGTTCCTATGCATTTTGCAAATAACACGTGATCTCTGGTCCAGTGAATATATTTCCATCTATGGCTTTGTGGTTCTTGGTCTAGTGAACACCCCCCCCCCGTTGTTTACGGTTAAGTAGAGAAATTCAACGCGGGCATAGCCTTAAGCTTCATCCCTCGGTTTTAAAATTTTCTGGATTCAAGATCACAAATAGAAGATTAAGATTAGAGATTTAGTAAAGATTTTAAAGAGGATTTTGGGCTTGCGACGCAATTAGATGGGATGCTATATCGCTGCCTACGGATTTATATTCAACGTGGATTTTCGAGCGCTCGGCACAATGGCACTTGAATCTTAGTATCCATTCTAGATCGTACTACGGAGGTCGTGATACTGACCGCTTCTTCGGTGGTGCGTTCGAGGGAGATGAGAGCGATGACGATGTGGATGGCGTAGACGATGAACCACCTGCTGAGCTAGTTCCACTTGGAATGCGCGGTGGCAGTGGTTCCTCGAATGTGCGCAGTCCCAGAAATCGAACCCGCAGTGGATCACATCAGCACAAGCCTGGCTTCTTCGGTATGTTTTATTTCCATACAAGTGTCTATTGTAGTGCTGGTCACGCAAAAGCGGGTTTCGGTAAGAATGCTAGCGATGATTTCCATATTAGAGGTTCCGTCGAGCAGTGTTCAGTTTTTGTCGCGCTCTATTGTGGCGCGACAGATTTCATCAGAAATAGAAATCCTTGCAGATCCTCCTTTCTTAGCAAACTTATGCAGAAAACCAAGGCATTGTTCGCTAGTAGAAAGTATTTTTTGCTGGGATATAATTTCGAGTCGGGGATGATGGTGGTCGCCGTTCCAGTCGACGCTCGCCATCCGTTGGCCTAATTAACTGCGACTTGATTTTGCGACGGGTCATGATACAAACTGTGTCCAGCTTTTTCTCTGTTTTGAGTTGAAAGTGCACTGTTTTCGAGAAGTCCTTGCTCAGACGTCCTTCATATGGTTAGGGCAATTATACGGCGAACCCAAAAAGTACTCATTTCGAATGGTCAAAATATTTGAGCTGCCCATCTCATTATAAATCTCTCCGTCCTAGAGTAACACTTTTGATGAAATCGAGAGTGGGTACAGTGTTAGAAAGGATGCTCTGTAAACGTCCTTGCTGCAATTATCATTCGCTGCAGTAACACGTCGCACTCATTCACATGCCACATTTTTCCATCGATTTGCACGAAACTTTGCAGCCGACTTCCCCCGCAGTTATTGCGATAGAGTTTAACCAAATCCGTTTTAGGGAAAAGTGATCATATTCTGAAGCTTTTTGATTCAGAGGGAGTGTCACCCTCCAGTTTGTTGTTGTGACTTGCGCATTTTTCTTCCCAATAACAATTTTGTAAGTGGTTGTGGGTGTCAAAACATCTATATCCTTAAATGAAAACAACAATTTCTAAACGAGAGGTGTAATTGTGAGGAAGCTGCTTTTTTCCCCTGATTTCTATAGCGAAAAGAATTGATGGTGTACTTAAAGTGCACGTCCGTATTTTACGTCAGTTCGCTGCACGAATTTTCTTTGTCGGCTTCAACAACGTTGCTAATGCCGTTGTGTGCAGTGCAATAGCCAGATGTTCACAGTTCATATGTTTATGATAATTGCGCGACGGCGCCGGGTCAAAGGGTCACAGTCCTTGGCGTGCGAAACCTTTGTTTCCTCAGAGTCATGTCACATCTATCCCATGCTGTGCCAGAACGTTGTCGCACATTATTGATGATGTGCAATTTAGACTTCTACAAACTTACGCAGGAGAAGCTGGGTGCGGGAGCGTACGCGAGTGTCCGAACTTGTGTGTCAATTGCCTCTGGGAAGGAATATGCCGTGAAAGTGAGAAATCTTCATTAATTCGGAAGGTTGTGGTTGTTGGAAAATGGCGAATTATCCTATCCTTCATAGGTTGTTGACAAGAACGAGGAATCGCACACGCGATCGCGAATTCTCCGAGAAGTGAATACGTTCAAGATGTGCAAGAATCAGCCGAACATCGTCCAACTGATTGAGGTAAAGATAGTATCTGTCATCTGCGTTTCATATCGCCTTGATCCTTTCTGTAGTATTAATTTATGCGTTGGCTTCAGTGGTTCGAAGATGATGGAAACTTCTACATGGTGTTTGAAAAGATGCGTGGTGGTCCTTTGCTTGAGCACATCATTCGCAAAGGATATTTCACCGAAGAAGAAGCCCGCCGTGTGACTGTGGATATAGCAACCGCTCTCAAGTTCCTCCACGATCGAGGTATTGTAACTTGTTAAAGGTTCTCAGCACTCAGCTATAGCTCAATATTTTTAGGAATAGCACATCGAGACGTGAAACCAGAAAACATCCTATGCACTGAGCCCGATCGGGTGAGCCCTGTGAAGTTGTGTGATCTGGATCTGGCAAGCCGTCCCGTCAAAGGTCATTCACCCCCGAGAATGCCACAGGTTTGTTCATCAAACATTCTGTAGTTTATCCAAGTCAAACACATCAAATGTTCAGATCGCTTCGGAGCCGGATCTCGCTTCACCAGTTGGAAGTGCTGAATTTATGGCTCCTGAGGTTGTCGATGCATTTGTCAACGATGCGCTGCGGTACGACAAACGTTGCGATATGTGGTCACTTGGAGTTATCCTCTACATCATGCTTTGTGGATATGCTCCATTCCAAGGGGAATGTGATGACGAGGACTGCGGGTATGTTTGTCGCCTAGTCATGCTTCACAATTATGTATGATATGCGCAATTTTAGCTGGTCTGATGGACAACCATGTGACGACTGTCAGCAGGAATTGTTCCGCCGCATTCAATGCGGTGAGTACGACTTCCCAGCTGACGAATGGGACATGATCAGCGCTGAGGCGAAACATCTTGTCAGCAGTCTATTGGTGAAGAACGTGAGCGAGCGGCTCACTGCCAACGAAGTTCTCGACCACCCTTGGGTTAAGCAGAGCGCACCAAGCACTATACTGCAAACTCCGAGTAATCTGTTCAGGTAATAATTGTTTTGCGGGTTTCTCTTCGTGCAGGAGAAGGAGATTTCATTAGGTTTCATTTTGAGGCCATATTAAACATTCGTTTAGGATTGATTCTGCTCGTGATGTGCAGCAGATGAGCGAGCATTTCAACGTGATGAACCGTCTCGTGGCAGCTCGTTTGAGCTCACGTCTTGAGAAAATCAGCATGAATGAAGATGAACAGGAGAGTACAACTGATTCGGTCAGCAGTGCAAGCCCTACTGATCCACCACCGACTCAGATGTACGAGAACGACCGCCAGGTGCGCTAGCGTCCATATTTTGAGCTCCTCTATTATAAATTCCGTTTTGCATCATTTGCATTTTCAGGTTCCTCAAGCGCTGCCTTTGTTCATGATGCCTCCAGAAGCTTTCATGGATCCATTCAGTGGAATGATGATATATCCTCCCGGTAGTGAGCCACCATCTCCGGCAATCAGCGCGAAAAATCGCCTGAATGCCACTAAATCGATTTCTGATGAAGGTTCCATAGCTCGCAAAGGCAGCTTTGTCAAGGTAAGGTTTCTTCCTCAATTTAAACCTTAATGTATGTTGTTAGTATTAATCAGTAAAAATATTCAATATTCTGCATCTGCGAATAATTCGCTTTCGAATTGCTTAAAACACTAGTGTGCTTACAGACTGTAACGCCTCGTTCTTCACTTCTTCGTGCTCGTAACAGCGCCAGCGGTATTCGTCGTTACATTGCTAGCGTGTCTCGCGGGCCTACTCCGGAGACTTGTCAGGGTGCAGTTGTTAGACAGGTTGGTTTGAGCTTACAATAGCAGTTCCAATCACATTTTGATGGTGTATGTCTTCAGGAATCACTATCCGATCTACTCGCTCAGCAACACCGTGAAACTGAAGTTAACGTGTGATGTCGCCGTTGACGTCCTTTTCTCTATGTAGCGTTCTAGCTGCTAGTTTGTTTATACATTTGTCTTGTTGGCGTCACTATAGACCACTACGCTATCGAAATCTCGCACACTCACTCTCGCGTTTTAGCGGGTACGCCTCAGCCGGGTTGCACCTCTTCTCTTGTACATTATACGTCCATCCTACACCGGTTCGAGCTAATACTGTATATAGCTTTTGAGTTGTTGCGTGCAATCATATTCTTGCATGGGTTCTGAAAGCTACTTTATTTTTCTCACAGAACAGCTCTTCAATTTCGGAACACATGTTGGGTAGTTGTAGTGGCCGGAAATATATGTACATACGGTGGTTTAGCTTTGGATCATCTTCAGCTGCATCGTCGGTTTTGTGCGCTTTGTATGTAGTTTAGTGTAGTTAGGTTTCATAAGTCCCCGCAGTTACTCTGATGCGTGTACAAATTCATATTTGCTGGTCCTTTTCTGGTGTCTTGAGCCGAAACCCACATCTGATCTGGGAGGATTTTTGTGCAGAGTATTCAAAAATTCTACGTAATCCTCCCATGTTCGGATGTTCCATCGTGGGTGACGGTTAACTTTTTACTCGTCACGTTTATCTGATCACTTTAGCTTTTCTCATTTATGTGTATCACACACGTATTCCTAATTTATATCTATTATTGTTCTCGTTATTTAATATAAGTCATGCGAGTTGGGGCGGTCAGCGTACTTCCCCGTTCGGGTTCACTTTTGAGAGAGAAGAATGCATGCGTTGTGCTCAGCCGAAGCAGCTAACCCTCACACGTGTACTCGATCCACTCCTTAGAGGGTACGTGCTGTGGTGAAGGCTATGAGGCGGTGGCGCATCGCATTTGTAGCGCTCTTCTCTCGGGGTTTTTTCGGGTGTGAAGAGCAGCTCCTTGGTACGGACGATGGTTGTTCCTTGGAACAAGCATTGCTCCATTACCAACGACTGCAGTCGGTTCGTGTTCAGCCCATGTGTATATACATTGCCTTATACTCTCCTTTGTGTCACTCCTCAACACCGTACTCTCTTCTTTTCTCTATTGTCCTCCTCTATCCTTCCCGTTTTTTAAACCAACTTGTCAAGCTCTGTGTTTGGTTTTCCATTTTTTCTTCGTAGTTTAGATTCAATCTGTTTCAATAACTTGATAGTGCATCCATCTCCATCAGGTTGCGCTGCTTTCGCATGTCTCCACCTTAAATGCGACGTTATCTTGGGTTTCGTCGACCCAGATTTCGTGGGTCTCGCAAACCCATTGTTTTAGAAAAGTGCGAAAAGGTTTCGGCCTCTTCAAACTTTCAGTTGTTAGTTTATTATGATTACACATCGAGAAAATCCAAAAAAATCTCTTGCGTTGATCCAATATTGTAGTGTATCGTAGTGGGACTAGCTCTTTGAATTTGAGATACTGAGGGAAAAGGAAAGATGTACTCGAATTCGCTCAGTGTCTTGAAATCACTCATTAAGAATATTTTCTCCAATTAGAATGTCTTATTTCAGTAGTATATGTAGTACTCTGTACCATTATCAGGTGATATTTGTGTTATCGGAGAGAAGATTTTGGGCGCACAGTATCGGTTGTTTAAAATGCACGAACGATCGTGTCCTCATTTTCACGTTGATCAATAAAGTGTGAATCGATTCGTCGTCGTCGTCGTCGTTTGGTGTGTACGTACACAAGTGCAAAAGTGCAAAATCGTTATGTCTATGAAAACTGGCTGGAGAGGTTTGATCGATGATGCTGAGATGGCGCGGTCGGTACATTTAGAGGTGCAAGCGCCGCGGAATTATCCATTGTTCGTGAGCGATCGTATGGGAGAAGGGGGGTTCCTGGCTGGGTAAAGGGTCGGGGACAACGAGGAATGGGGAGCAGTGCACTTTGATAGCGGCGAAGGGTATCGTGTCAATTTAGCCCACTGACCAGTTTTCCAGAACTGGTAGGTAAATTTGGTGTACTCTCGGTAATCTTACCCTAGTCGCTCCTCAAATTGGTGACGATAACCAGAGCGTCGTTTGGGAATCTTGTGATGCCTCGGTAAACCATAGATCGCTTAGCGTGGTGCTGTAACGAATGTGTATTGACAAGAGCAGTTTTCTAGTTGCTAAACAAGTTCTGCAACAATTTGACATGGCTTTTTCATCAATACTAAATTCAGCTACCGACAAAAATTGTCAGCAAGGAAAGGGGTAAGCACGGTTGTTTCAAGAAACGGCTACGAATATGGGAAGACAATAATATTTCATCTACAGCTCCATTAGTCTCAGTGAAGATCCAGTTCAGATGAGCTTTTTCTGTAGTGTTTTTAGACTTAATCGTGGCCGAATTGTCGTCGAAGTGGGTAAATTGCTTGGGCTATTCGTGGATGCGGGATGTCTTACGTGCTTAGCTTCCACTCGGGTTGGTAGAATCCGAATTTTTTTGGGAATGACAGATGCTAATAGCTCCCCGAATGGTTAGACCTGCTTCATTTGAAGGGGATATGCCTAAAAAGCCTCAGGGCGCTACTAGTCGTGGGTCCTATTCTGGCGTGACACATTGACGACAATCCTCCTCATAAAAAGCGCCTTCTTGCCTTCACCTGGTTGGACGAAAGTACCTGATTTAGCTGCTGCTATAAACTGGAGACGAGGAAAGGACATTCTAACCTTAGAAGTATATCTTCATAATTATGTTATGAAATCGGTATAGATGATAGATAGGGCTGCGGGTTTGTCTAGTCCTTTTAATAATTCCGTATTTATAACAGGTACTACTTTCTCCATGGGCGGAAGTGGTGTAGTGGCAAGTGGCACGCTTACCACGCGAGCGGTCCGGGGATCAAATCCTGGGTCGTGAGTCGCCCGGGCCAACCAAGCCTTCCATCCCTCCGGGGTCGGTTAATTGGTACCAGACTTGTCTGGGAGGATAAACACTGACTTGTACATCGGCTGGCCCCCGCAAGTCATTGTATAGGCCACATCGCATTCAAACGCCACTACGAATGTACAAATGGAAGTAGAATGCGTGCCGCATCCCAAAAGGGATTGATCAACGGCAAATGCTTTATCCTTTATCCTTTTACCGTCCTCCTCGGTTAAAACAGTGTTTTCTATTGTTTGTTCCTTCTAGGCGCGTCAATTGCACGCACGAAGATTGAAATTAACCCCAATGATTTTTTAAGACCGAGATTTTTTCCTCTCTGTGTTTCATATTGATTCATAATGTTTATTATAGTATGTATTATGCAGGCTGCGATTTATTTGCTATTAAAAATCACATAAATATATAGAAATAAATGACGAATTCACCGCCGCTCATATTGGGAAGATTTCGTGGTAGTCGGCCCCCTAAATATAAAAACAGTGCAATTTTTGAAGGGATGTGAAGATGCGACACATTATGACATTATGACGTCCAGTACCACCACGGTAGTAGCTGCCCTACCATTATACTGATCTTCGCGCGATTCTTAATGGCTGGCGCAGCGTGTGCTTTGAATGTCTCGAATTCATTATTAAGATCACATATCCAACGGTCAGGGGCGTGTTGTTGACAAAACCGGTGTGCGGGCAAGGGAGTTTGAGAGGCACATGACGCTGTGGTGAACCCAGGGTATCATTTAACTCTGGTAATTACTGCTTACTTCTTGTGATATTTATGGCAACTCTCAGTCATCACCCTGTCGGCTATGGAAATAGAATGCGTTCAAATTTGTGAAGTGTTCACCAGTATTGTCATGCCAGCTGAAATGCTAAAAGGCAATAATTCGTAGTAAACAAGACAATAATGAAAATCAGAAATAATAATAATAAATAAAAACAAGCACCTCTTCACAAACGTATCTAAACATGATACTGTCTCGAAAGGTCTGGTTTGATTCGAAAAAATAAAATTTAAGATAAAAATTAATTATAACCTGAGGCTCAAATTTCTATTTTAGAAAGTTCTGAAGTCAAGTGCTGCCGTACACTGACGAAGAATGTGAAAACACCAGAGCAGCAGGGATTCCGTTGAGATTGAGGGTCCTCGAGATTTGCCTTCTCGAGAGCTTTTGAGTGAAGTTCAGAGCTCAAACTGCTACTGGCATGATAAAAAGTGAATAAATAACATGTCTTCATCTTCTTTTGCCCCGTTTGGAATTGCAGTGCGGTAGGAATTGGTGTGGGTGGGTTACTTGGTATAGACTTATCTGGGAGGATAAAATTAGTTTTCGCACCGGCTTGGACCCTTTAAATCATTGTTTATATGATCCAAAGCACATTCAAATGCTACTACGTTTCTGAGTGAAAGTGCATTGTGGTTCGCCTTGAAAAGGGATTAATCGGTGCTGAAATGCCTTTTGTCCTTTCGGGTTATTCCTTCTCAATTTGTTCCAAATATGGGTGCTAGCTTCGTTTTGTAAGATTTTATTAATATAATAGCGGCCATTTTAGCTTCTTCGTTCTCGGGTCAGAAATAAAAGCTTCCGTGATTGAAAATTACTGCTAACAAAACATCATTCAAAGTTGCGTAAACATTTGCAACTCAAATCAAGGTGATTGAAAGGATTCAGCACAAACTCCGAGAGTCATCTTTAGCAAGAAGGCGGGCTACCGTTTTTTCGTGGTGATTCATCTTTAACTCATACTCGATTGCTCTATGTTGTAATACGAAGTCACTATTTTGCCAGAGAATCAATCAACCGCGGAAAGCGTTACTGTAGCCCTTTAATGATCGGAAGGGCATGATGCTTATGTAAGGATAGTAGTGCTATCCCCAGCACCATATACCTTCTACGTGCCTTTAATAATTGCGGTTGATGTAGTTGCAAGGGGAGCCGCTTACGGCGTGAGGCCCGTAGATCGAATCCCCGGACAATCGAGCCTTCTGCCGGGAATGACTAAATGGTACTCAGACTTGTCTGGGGAAATAAAATCACTGCATTATGCGTCTGCAGGCCTTCGAGGTCGCTGTATAAGCAGAATCGCATTCGAAATATCAGCACGATTTTGAATGGAAGTA